CCCCAAAACCCCAAAACCCCAAAACCCCAAAACCCCTGCAACACAAATTAAATAGAGTGTTAATATAATAAATCAGCTTAAAAATGGAAGGATTCGACACCTTAGATTTAAACCTTGATATCACTTCATGGGGCCCACTGAAGGCCACCAAGAACAGAGATGTCCTCATTGATGGCGCCTTCGCCGCCAGCAACAATGATAACATTAAGGGCCTTTGCGAGGTCTTCCTCAGAGGAAAGAAGGAAGACAAAGCTGCTGAAGAAGCAGCCGTCAGCTTCCAGGTAGTGGAAGTTAAGCAGCAGGCTACTAAGAGGATCACTGCTCAGAAGAAATTCCAGGGCCAGAAGAATAATTATAATAGGTATCAGAACAAAAATTGGATGGAAAAGAATAAGGGCAATAGACAGACTGGAAAGAAGCAGAAAATGTTTGAGAATAAGAGAAATATCCAAAATACTCTTTATAGAAAGGAAATGAAAGCAAAGGCTAAGGCTCTTAAGACTCTTTCATGCCCAATTGACTCTGAGTGGACTCAGGTTGGAGAGATGCAATGCCATTCTTTCAATGGTCTACCTAAGTTCAAGCCAGGAGAACCAGAAGTCTATGCTAGAGCTGGAAAGATTGCTGAGTACAGATACGATATTGATGGACTCCTAAGTGCAAGACCTCTAAAATTCACTAGTTTCAAGGATATTCCAGAGAACAAGTTATCTACCCAGGATATCACTCTTGATGAGATTGCTATTGAGTGTATTGATACCTGTAAAGGAACCAAGATTATTGCCAGTGATATTGCCCTAGCCACTCTTATGAACATCTCTAAGGCTTACTACTCCTGGGATCTCAAGGTTGAAAAAGTTGATGATATGATTTTCATCACTAAAAGAGAGAAAGAAGAGAAGGAAGATTTTGTATGGATTGATTTAGAGCATGTTGGAGAGAACTCAATCACCCCACCACCTGCTGCCATTGATGATCCAAAGCCAGGTATGTAATTTTAGATCATATTTAGCACTACAATTAAACACCGCTATGAATTTGATGAAAGAAGGAACAAAGGTGTTGCACTCAACCCAAGCTATCGCCATCAATCCTGAGAGTATCGAAGAGTTTGATCATCCACATCCTAGCCAAGAAGATGAGGATCAACAAGATCTCCCTCTTCATGGATACACATACATGAAGTGGCCTTTCGGTGAGAACAGGACTTTGATCACCAGAGGACAGCTTCACAGTTTTGAATCCATCAGTGCTGGAGGAGACTCTGAAGCAAAGATAAAATACACTAATATTTACGCTATGAACCAGTGGAAGTTCAACAAAGCCGAGTGGAAAAAGGTAGATGTTGATAAAACAGCTGTTCTTGGAGGAGAGCTTACTGATAACAGTAACAGAGTATCCAAATGGGCACTCCAATCCCTATTTGCAGGTGCTGATAACATGAAGATCATGTTTGTCAAGAGGCAAAAGCTATCAAATGCTTCTAAGCACCAAATTTTGGGAACAAGTACTCTATCTGTCAACAAGTTCATGAACTTCATCTCATTCAAATATGAAGAGGCTTGGAGTAACGTCAAGTACATTGTGGATTACTTCGAAGAAAAAGAGAATGGAGAATACCTACTTTTGAGAGACCCCATGAAGAACCTGATCAAGGTCTTTGACGTCTCCCAAAACGACGGAGAAGGTGAAGATGATGAAGAAGGAGAAGATGCCGATGAAGGTGAGGGAGACGAGAATACTGGAGATGATGAAAAAGATCAGCAAGATGGAGAAGATGAATAAATATCCAATTTCATACTTAACCAAATATCACTACATTTGGCATCTTTTGTGCTTTAGAGTGGGAATTATATCATAATTGGTGCAGATTATCCATATATCTGAGCTCATCAATTTTAATGGATGTATGAGGGGTTTTGGGGTTTTGGGGTTTTGGGGTTTTGGGG